TGAGATCTATGACTTTCGCGAGTATATTCATTTAAATGAAACTAATATTATTCGGATTACTATGCCTATTTTATTATTGTATCAACTACATACTCCCGATGTTTCGGTTACTTTTCAGCAACTGATCACGGACAGACGAGATGTGAGTCGTTTTGAAGTTTCAGATTACTGACAATTTATACTATAACTAGTTTTTGCCCGCGACTTCGTCCGCGTTAGTTTGGTCAAGAGTAATATATGTAGGTATAGCTGACCAGGCGAACTCTATTCCGTCTTAGAGGCCATAAATAATCAGGTTTTTCCTGTTTCAATCAAACAGAATGATTGACATATTAGTTAGTTGTCAAATCTAATGTCAAAAAAAACGTTTGTATGGGAAATAGAAAAGGGCTGTTTTTAGGGTTTTCCCGGCAATTATTCCAATTTTTCTCACCTTTTAAACCTTCCCTGGACTTCCAGAAGTATTTCAAGACTAAAATTAGCCAAATCCATTCAGCCGTTCTCGAGTTTTAGCGAGACTAAGGAACAGAATCCATTTTTATATATATAGAAGATAGTGAAAATAATTTCTAAGTCAGTGGTAGTCTAGTGGTTAGAAGGCCCGCCTTTCATGCACGAGGGCGCGGGTTCGATCCTACCAATGTGATTTTTCCGAGTCATATGTACTTTCTAAGAGTATTTAGACATCACTGACTAATGCATTCCCAAAGAGGGTTGATGTCAGGCAGGCGGCCGATCGTAAAAACAATTAGCCATAACTATTCACAACATGTAAGGCAGACCCTGGCTAAAGCTGGGAAATTGCCAGGTAGAAAAAGAAGAAGAGTGAGAATAATTCCTATAGAATCATAATTAATGTACTTATAAAGATAAATAATATTAATATAAAGATAATTTCCTTCTTGTGTACATTTGAATAAGTAATTCTATTTTATTTAAATAATTCAATAAGCAGACTACTTATCGTTACATCTGATCGACGTGTGATACTCTACTCTCCGCCTACATCATTTAAAATTTTGGTAACTGTTTTATTGTTAAGTAAAAATAACTTCTTGAACTTTAAATTAAATAAATAGCAGTAAGAAAAACATTTGCTTTTTAATGTGCTACGAATTATATCGAATTTAATAATCTACGAGACTTGAAGTTACAAATCCTGATATATTTTTCTATATCGTAACCTTTTGTTTTTCCTTGTTCATATAAAATTCTGTTACATATCAAAAAGCTAAATATTAGTCACTTTATTTATACTCGCAACCAAAAATACAAGGCTAAAGTTTACGAACAGTATTATAATGCACATTGCAGTTTACAAGCAATATAATTTATTTCCAAGAAGCAGTACAATGCCTAATAAAGATTTATAAGAAGTTTAATCAGATGCCTCTGTCCTTCGTCTGGTTAGAAGGTCAGCTATGCATGTGGTGTGCATTGTAAATGTCCTATAAACAGAGAATAGACGATTGTGGAGGGATCATTTAATACTGGTTTGTCATTATCTTTTGATAAGATTCATTTAACCAAAATTTGAACCATCCATTCTTTGGATTCCTTTGTGATTTATAAAACTGGTCATTAAGAAATATCTTAAATTTATTGTTTTTTCCGTTTTTTTTGTGTAATTCATTTAAATTACGTTTTAATCTAATTAAGTGTAGATTAATTACGTTGATAGATAACTTTTAAGAATTAAATATCCATTTGGTATAAAGAAGTATACATTTGGTATGATAAAATTAGTTTAATATACATATAAATTAAATAAACTGTTTGTTTTGGGCCTAATACCTACGTTTATAGGTCAATGCTGATTAACGGTATTACAATAAAACGTAGCATATGGTCGGAATATTTAATCTGTACAAGACGATTTCTTTTCTAGAGTGACGTGTGCCGCTGACAGAGCGGTAACATTTGGAAGGTTAGTGTAACAAAACGTTCTTATAATAGTACAATGGAATTTAGTCCCGAATACTTTTCATATAAATAAACAAAGCAGCGAAATTAGTTCGTGTTTTACTCACAGTAATATGAGTAATGTGTGAAAAGTAACGGCCTTGAGTTTATACAAAAATAGTAATATGTTATAGTTTTCATGACTTCATTACTATTACATTTCTTTTATACTATTGATGATATTGATAACTGCGACACATAAAAAGTTTATATTGCAAGAAAGGAAAAATCTCTTTTAAGACATGAGTTGACCCTTATACGTCACATTTCTTTTATAATACTGTAATTATTTTTACTTTTGATACATAAATATATAATTTTATATAAGTTTCTACAGCACAAAACGAGTTTTAATAAAAGTTTTTCAGTCAGGTATTTTTGTTTTTATGTTCATAGGAGGGCTGTTTAGTTTTATATAATTTCAAAATTACAAACTTTATGTTGCTTTAGTCTTTATTATTTTCATATGACCATAATCTTAAATATCTATTTAGGATATAGTGGAGCAAATAATAATGAATGTAAGGTTTTTCTCGTTCCATTAAATAAACAGGCCGAGCGTCACCTACGCTCGTCGACGGTGGTCCATTTATTTTAATCTATTTTAACGAATGTTTTCATTTTCCCGTTAGGAGATCGTCGAAATCGGAATCGCATTTAGTCTCGACCGTCTTTATTTGGAGATGTTTTAAATATTATATTTCTTCATCATAAATGTGACTGTACATCTAATTTTAAGGAAAATTGTTTGATATGAGGTAGTGACTTCTTTCCTTTGTATTGATTGCCTTGCAAGTACTAGTTTATTTGGTTTCAAATTTCAGTAAACCATGATCTAATTCGAGATTGCAATGTCAACTAATACATACACAGGCCTTAATGAGTTGCTTCTATTAATAGTTGGCGCGAAAATATCCAATTTATTTGTCGCTGAATACCTACTACTACGTATATTAGAGTTTAGACAATAAATTTAGAAATAACAAAAGTAATATTCTTAATGAAATTATATATTCGTAAACGCTCGGGATATATTGGATTACATATTTAATTTAAACCTGACGTTTCAATTACTCAACTGCTAAGGAAGACGAGATGGAAGTACTCAGACGTAATGTAAAAGTCAGAACAAACAACTGATTAAATAATTTTAATATAAATAACTACCATGTTGAAATACATTACAAAATAAGTCTTATCAACTAGGACTTAGAGTCTCAATTTCGAAACAAATATTCCAGTTTGAAATTAAATTTTTTCATTGAGAATAAACCGATTATAATTTCATACATACATATTTCGTTATTCATAGATCATGTAAATACAGTTGTTCTTCATGTATACGGAGTCGTATTTATGTAATGTATGTCACACGGTTTCTGCGAACGTACTTTAATGTCACCGAGACGCTATAAAGTTTATGAATTACGGGAGTTGACTTTGTCGGCTTAAACAGTTATGATTAGAACCTTGGACTGATATTAAAATAAAGAGTTCTCCAAATATAAATTAAACCACACAATATGACGTCATCAATTGTATGTCGCATGTGAATGTAGTTGTTCTAGACCGTTATTCAGAACACTTTTTAGTCGACACACCCAATGCTCGAGACGTTCATTAATGATTTGCATAAGAATACATGACTCGTCCCAGTCTCTGAACAGTAATGTAATGCAAATTAAACATCACACTATACTTGACACTATGGAGCAAGGGACTATTAAGTACTCTGTTCTTTAATAAACTGAAAATATATTTAAAAACATTGTTTATTGTTATTTTGGCTACAAATGACGTAACGAAGTAACCGTGAGAAGTAAACAATTGAAAGGACAAATTGTTTAGCGCTTGTAAACGAGTTTGTTTTAAGGTTCCCTATAAAGATAAGATATGACACTTTATGCAACGAGTACCATAAAATTATGCATTACATTGTATTATACAAGACATTTTAATATATACATATAGATAAACATAAGATTACTAACATCTAATACCATTTAAGTGTGTACTGTAAAATTTTGTTACCGGCCTCAAAGCAATCTGTTACATACGGAACCAATACTAAGGCATGTTTCAGTTAGAATTGTATATTAATTTAATTACTCTAATTCCCGCAATTTATGCTATTATATCAATGTATTTCTCAGTTATTACCAATGTGTTGCTATTAAATAAAACACATTTTTAATGGGATTTTATTGCCGCTAAATACTTCATTGCTGAGTTTTTAATTGATTGTAGTCCTGTTGTTATGTAAAATGCATATTTATATATTTCCGCGATAGATAATTGTATGAAAATGTTTTACAAGGTATTCTAAATAATAGGTATGATAAAATGCATACGTTTGTTATAGGGTATAATGTCTGATAGTTAAGAATATATAAACTCTTTGGTCGTAATGTTGATGACGTACCAGTTAGAGCTTAGAGCTGGCAATAAATTCTAATCATTCTGATAAGTTCTACGTTATACTGAACGAATCAGTCGTAAAGGCCTTGTACTCACAATTAGGCTTATATTTATTTTAATGGACACGCCATAAAAAGAGCATGTGTCCCAAATAGTAAATTACACATGTCCAGGTTATTCGCTAAAATTTTTAGCTCCAGCAAATTTAAATCAATAAATATGAAATATCAATAATATGGAAGATATGATTTTGATGTTATTAACTTAAATATCCAAGTCTTTTAAATTAAAAAATATAAAAAAGAAGGGTTGGATTAAGAATGTGGATGTCAAATATTCAAGCGCATATTTTTTGTTTTAATAAGATATTTTTTTTCAATTCTATTTCGAGTTTTTTTTTATTGTAATATCGGTCCTAAATAAATTTTATTTAATGTCACCAATAGACATACAGATAAATTTTCACATGTATCGATGCCACACTATATATTCTGAACTAATACTTTCAAAAAAATTCAAAATGATCTAAAACTATTAAAATGCTTTCAATTATATATTATTAATTGAACCCTACAGACGTAAGGGAAGATGGGATTTTTAAGTTTCTTATGGGAACTAACCTTGCAGAAGAATAGCGCTGATTGCCACGTGGCCTTGTTCTCACTGAAGAAGTAGCAGCTGTGACCGAGTCGGATGAACTGGGGCGGACACACGTACGACATGCTGTGGTTCCTAGCGGCAACACTATCACCTGCAACATTAAAAGAGCTCGTCATATACAAAGCAATCTGAACTGTTCAATAGAATTAAGAATTTATAGAAAGGAAATTGTCAATAGCCATTCAGGATCCAGTAACACGAGTTTGTACCTAGTACAGGGGCCCTCGCAACTTGTTTCATTTGTAATCTTTTAGTCAATAAAGTTTATTTTTATTTTATTTTTTTTTATTTATTTATTCAGAACCATAGCTTTCAGTTTTCCTATATAATATTTACGAGACGAAACCTCTTAGCATTCCCTTGAGTCCCCATGCGGGTGCCGGGTCCATCGTTGTAGTGAGAGGAGCTTCAACAGTGACTGGGACTTGCGACCCAGATGTAGGTTTAAGGGGCCCCTGTCTAACGTTTCCCTTGACCGACAAAGCTGCTCTCTTTACCAAAACAAATTTTAAAACGAACCTACTAAAACTGCCTTCAAAGTACGTTCCAAGAATGAATTGATGTTAGTACTGAACAGATCCAAGTCTTGTAGTAGGTTGTAGAGAGATTTGGCTGTTATAATCACTTTAATACTATACATACGACTACTTGGATATAAATTAAAAATCATTTTTCCATCACCATAAAAGTCTAAATGCGGAGGCATTGTAAATTATAAAATTCTAACGTTCATTGCACACAGTATTAAGCGTTAAGATGGGCTAAGAAGCAATATAATCTTTGGGCGTAAATTATAAGTTACTAGCCATCTCTAATTAAGAAATCAACAGAATTTATTATCGTTTCGCACATTCCTCCCGACAGTTTTCATAACAAATTTATCTGCTATTCTAAGGTATTAGTGTATTTGCTCAGTCTAGACTCTAGAATGTAGCTGATGGTGACGTCATGTTTTTCGTGAAATGCATATAAATACATCTAAATGAGTTCCTCACTATTTTTTATAGTTCATTGCAGAGCGTATATTATTCGATGACGTTATTTTTTTTTTCACTTGTGATTCATAAAATTCATTCCTTGCATATTGATGTTGTATATGTAAATGTAGTATAGGATTTATTTTAATAACGTTTTTAATCCGCGGATTATCTTTTCTGCTGCGCTATTCTTGAAATACAACAAAATTTCACATTTTACCCACAATTCATTATTTTTATTAATGTAATTGAGTAACCAAGAAATATGTATTATTTATTTTCGATGTAATATTATCTAATAATTCTTACAATGTACTTTGAAGACAGTCTTAGTAGATTCGTTTCAAATTTGGCTAGGTAGAGAGAGGAGCTTGAACGGTGGAGGTGAGCGTTTAACGTGCGTTAGATAGGGCCTCTTAAACCTACACCTGGATCGCAAGTCCCAGGCACTGATGAAGCTCTTCTCCCTGCAACGAAGGACGCGGCACCCGCACGGTGAATCCATTGAATGCTAAGAGGTTACGTCTCATTTATTGTAAAAACTACATACTTCTGACGTTTCGATTAATAAAAAGTAATATTAGTTTCATTTAACTATTGAAGTTAATGTTATGTAATTTATATATATGTTTAAACATATGTATATAGAGAGTTTGAGTCTTTATTCTTAAATTTTATAGAACTTTGAACGTTCTCTTAAACGGTATTCCACAGACAATGATTCAAGTGGTCTATCAGTCTATTTGAGAATTGTGCTTTATTAGATATTCGATTGGTTCAGAGATCAAGAATAGTTTGACGTAGACAATAAATACTATTTCATAGGAATTGTATGTTTATAAATCTTATTTGATTATTAGTTAGTAAAGTATGGGCAAGTAAATATAAAATTACAAAGATATTATTTATGTTTGAGTAAATTTATCGGTAAAGTAATATATGTTCCGTGGCATGCTGTTCTAACTCGCTCAGTTAATATTACCTTTTACTATGCAGAAATAGTACATTATGGGTATTTTATAAAGGCATCTGTACATAAAGGTAATTTATATATCCGTGTCCTAATAGCTTTTATTAATCGAACTATCAATATTTACAATATGAGTTTTAAACAAAAATATTACAGACATTTAGTTTCTCTCGCTGTTTCTAAACGTTTTATTTTATTGAACATTGGCGCTGTCTCTACGATTTTCACTAGAAATGTTTCCGCGAATAACGAATTTATTTTTGAAATAAATACAATAATTAACCATTCTTTAATTGCTACAAGGATCATAATACAGTATTAAACTTATTTCAATTTAAAATAGTTGTAATTCGTAACAATATTTATAAAGAATAAACTTTGTATACTTACAATTACAAATCAAAGCGATGCAGACTGTCGCTAAAATGACGGCGAGATTGCCCCTCCTCTCAAGAGCCTCCATTGTAAAAACTGATGATTTTTCACTTATTGTAATATAACGTCACAAATTATTTTTACACTTCACTTTTAAGGTATACCTATTCAAGTCATATTGTCACAACCACGCCGGTTTATAATATACGAAGACAACAAACACGACCCGCCTTTCCTGAAACAATAAATTTGTAATTAATTTTGTATGTCGGTGCACTTTATAGTGTTTGTACTTAGGACAAGTGAGCGATGATTGAAACATTGTACAATTGAAACAAACCTACCTACATGTATGTCATGAATTATGATTTCCGAGAAGTTTTGATTTGAAAGCAGTATAACAATAAATCATTTCCGTCCACGTATTTAGGTCAGTCTAGAAAGTTTAACCATAGGAGAAATCTAGATTTAAACCGTAAAAGTTTCTTAATGTCGATCGTAAACTTGATTATTACGGCCACGTATGCAGATTACGTTATTGTTTTTCAGAATAAACTGAACATTCAAATGTGTAGCCAACATAAAAGAACTTGGAATATTAGTGGAAACAGTTATGTTATAACAGTTTCCACTGAAATTACTAGTTAAAGATAATACTCAATAAAGACTAATAGGAAAACACAATTCATATAACAAATAAAGATATTATATCTTTTATATATTAACTTGATAATAAGATAAGATCATAAACATCAATCATCCGATTAGTAAAAATAAATATCAACTTTAATTGATAATTATATTTCACTACTGGTCTTGAATTATTTTCCTCGTTAGAAATTAAATGTTGGCAACAAATTGTATAAGTACAAAGCTTAGGAAGAGATAAATTGTTGTTTTCTTTCTAATATTATGTTTAGAATTTTCTGTTTTATGTTGATTTCTTTCGTGTGTAAGGTTGGCTATTTCATTTTAACCTGACGGCTAATCATGACATGTCAGCGACGTGTCTGTCAATTAGTCATGTTAATTTGTCTTCTCTTCATCTTCAAAATATCTCCATTGTGCAATACATACCAATTCTGTTCTTGAAATAGCACGTGTATTTTTAAATTTTGTTTTATTAATATTTAAAGAAATCTTCTTAAGAACATACGCTATTTTAATATATTTTTAAGTGGAATCTCTTATTTCAACTAATTGGAAGGTATCAAGGTTGCCGATTTAATGAATCTTGAGTAGTTAAAATTTAAAAAAAACTTTTTCGTAAATTTAAATTTAGAAAACCCTTGTGAAGGTTATCTAAGTTTGCAGTATACAAGAAACATTGTATTGATGCTACTATTGATAATAATTTCGTATAATTATGATCTAGCATTAAAACAAGCAAGCAAAGTGATCGTGGTACTATAGTATATTTGATAAAGTAATTGGAAGGGCGAGTTTCCCACGTAGCAAGTTTGAATTCTGTTCATTTGTTTTATATTATTCTCCTTCTATACGATCTATTTGAATTTCAATTCAAGCGGTTCAAAATGCTTAATAATTAATATTAAACGTTACAATTATACAAATATGTAAGAATATATCTATAGGTTTTACTAGATTTTGTTACAAACCTTGAACCGTTTATGTACAATATATTTTGTCTGAATTACTAAACAACAAATCATTGTAGAAACCCCGCGGTCAACTTGGCCTATCAGCCATGCTTGAAATTTCAATTTCCTCCAGCTTTGTAGCGAGCGCTGGCCTAGATATAGATGGTAGTCATTTAAATCGTATTAATCTATAACAACGTATCTTTAAAGCTTATTTATCTTTGTATGTGACTGATTGTTGTGCTGAGAATTCTAATGTTATGTTTTCACGCTCTGTTGCCTGCACTTTTTCCGCATATTAAAACTCCTATGAGTTCTTATCGACATTTTTATGAGGTTCCATTTGATTTTTCGAGAACCCAACATCAGATCCTGACTTGGTGTCAGTAGACTACCACGGAAAGATGCCGTTTTGCTTAAAAATACTTTATAATTCGCCTTTTGTTAAAGGAGTAACTAAGTTTAGGAGACATCTCGTCTGCCCGTAATCACGGTTGCTGAAAAGTAGCCGAAACGTCGGGAGTATGTAGTTTTCAAATCAAAAATTTAGAAAAAATTTAGAGATTTATTTAAAGAGAAATTTCTCTCTAAATTGGTCCAGCCGTTTTCTCGAAATTGCATTTGGACACTTCAAGTCTGCCTTGAATTTCGAGTCATGTGAAACGAATATAAAAAAATATAAATTTTATTAAACAAGAATAAAATGTACTTTTATAATAATGCACAACTAGAAATAACTACGAATTATCTTTCAACTCTCTCGAGTGAGAACAACGCGTATAAATCAGGTTCTACCAGCACTTGTAACTGGCGCCTCACTAATGGTGTAGATGAGTCGCAACATGATACTCGACCACAATCCTCCATTCCTGACCACAACTCACCACTATCGACCACAGTCCGCATCTCCCTACCACAATACGTCAAACCCAGCCCCACGCAGCTTCTCGAACCTATTCGTTCCGAACTGGTGCTTTTGTTATACATGAGGTAATATATACATAAGCTAATTGAAATTTATAATATAATCTTATAAGAAGAACCGTTTACATTGTCATAATGTTTGTGGTCAGTTCACAATTATGTTTTATGTGGATAAATCTTAATTGGGTCCATTGAAAATATCTTCATCAATTATCATATTTAAATTGGATGTAAATGTATTGTGGACATAGCTCCAAGTGTGGGCAGGATGCGTATGTCTAGATAATTAAGTTTGTTTGACAACGCTTTGAAAGATAAGGTTTTATTCACTTAACACGACTCGCTATACTTGGAGGTGATTACTACATTTATGGATGTCGGTTTACATTTTAATAACAAACGTATTTAAATTAATTTAACGGTATATTTTACAGAGATAAATGTTTGTATGGCTATAATAATTTAACACGAGAATTATACGTATTAAAGTCGAGCAACGTTTTGAAATTGCAGGTTTGGTTTCAAAACTAGGAAATGGGTGGTGCATTTTCATAGTATTCAACTTTATTTCTTCTAAGTTAAAGTTCATATTACAGTGAAAATGGAACTGCACTTGAAATAACTCAAGAACACTTGAGTGATCACGAAGAGATGCGCTTTTTATCTCCCTCGTGATTTCTGTACAGAACTTGCTACGGAATACGTGCATTACAGATATTTCTTGGTTTAGTTCTAGCTGTTTTTTTACTGTGGTACGTATATATTTTTTATTCTATATTATTGTGTGGGTGTATGTAACTGCCAGTTAATTCTGATGCGTTCATGTAATGCTGTGTGTATTTTTTATAGCGTCATACGTATTTCTGTGATGTTACTGCGTTCGGATATTTGTTGACCTTCGAGGGCTTTGTGTGGGATTTTGTGTTTTATTTCAGTCATAGTCGTAAATTTTTATACATCCCTCAACAGATTATACAGAGATTAAGAATGTGGGAGGTTGCTTGTTAGCAAATAAATGTAAAATGAAAATAAAAGGAGTATAAGACAGAATAAAATGTTTTCGTTAATGGGCTTGGTCAAATATTAGTATGATAAAATTAATTTAATTCAAAACATCTGTTTTGAACTACGAAGGTTCATTTTATAATACCTTACATCATTGAAACCGGCAAGGCAGGCCATTCAACGTCCGTACACTTGAATGTATGATGTATGAGATAATTTCGTATGAGTATAGATCGTTCGCTATTTGGACCAGTTTATAATTTTAACTGTTCCTTCAAGATATACAGGAACTCAAGTAATTGTTTTAAAAAGTTTTTGTATTTTCTGAACCGGTTCAGCTGTGTCCTTTGTTTCTTTATTTCTTTCTCCATCATTATATGACGTACAGTCTACAATGCGACCGAATCCTGAATAAATTGATCGCTTTCACCGCAGGCGCTCGTTAAAAATAAGAGACGGATGTATTCGCATACTTTGTCGGAAAAATGGCTACGAGACGAGATAAATTGGACTGTTAAAATGGACAATTCAAGGAGCTCAGTTTTTTATTTTATGCAACTTTAGTATTTGTGCAACAAAGATAAGGTTCATTGTTGTATGATTTTCTATAATGAGTACCATCGAACAATTTTTATGTTTATAATAATTAAAATTGTCAGAATCCCATTTACTCACATGGTGAATGATGTCGCGTAATTATTATTTTCATTCAGCATGCTTTCAACTTCAAGCATCAACAAGTTCGGGACAATTAAGATAATAGTGATTCAATTTTGAAATTTAAATCATTTCTTATTTTTATCATAACAGTAATTTATTTCATTGAACAAAACTAAGTGTTATATCATCATCAGTACTCCGGGATGTCATTGATCGTCTTTATACATTAAGTGTTTATTTACTTTCATATTAAATGGGATCGAATAGCAATTCAGCTATCTACTGTTGATTGATAAAGCGGACAACTTCAAAGGCATTATTTGGGACAATATCGGTATGTATGTCGGATGTTTTAAATTGAACAAAGATTAAAAAGCCCTAAAATGAGTCACGTTTTTTATTAATTTATTTGTTTATTTTCATGGGCAGAATAAATATAAAATTTAAAGAAGATATAAATCAACGAAGGCACAAATGGAATGCTGTCTGTGGTTTGTCGTGCCAACTCAAGCAGAATCGTGATTGCGGTGGATTCTTATCCTATAGTAAAAGTTGATAGAACTGTGTAGAAGCAAATATTGCAGGAACAGCAATTGTTTTAACTCAGGCATACTCAGATTGATACAATGTTCTCGGGACCGGTTTAAGACAACAGGTGGCTTGCAAAAATGCAGAAATGCACATCCGTTACTTTTTTTATTTCTCCAGCTCCAATATTTTCGTTCGGTTAATCTGTCGCAGAAACGAAAATATTCGGATCATCTAATAAAAGTTCCACGAACTACGAATAAGCAATCAAGATAGTTTAGCCATTATGAACTTCTGTTATTATAGTTCTTAATACAATAGACATAGAGACTGTATTATGTGGAACGCGGCGCTTCAAAGAGATCGACGCTACTCCTAATCTGATTAATTTGTTTGTATTAAATGTGATCATTGTAGTAGAACCTTCTGGTCAATGGACAAATGACCATCTGGAATATTATGTATACTTAAATTATGAAATATACTAGTCTTTGCATTATCCAAGAAAACGTCTGTACACAGAGATGAGACTTATTAGAACCAATTTCTTAAATGATAATAAATATCTTTATTAATACTAAATTTTATGCAAATAGCAGATGTTTCATGTCTATACAAAAGCATTAGAATTTTTTTGTATGTGCCATTGCATTACGAAAGAACGAGCAAAATCGATTTCACGGTTTAAAATGTCTGTAAAACCAGTTCTTTATTATATAATACTTAAATCAAATAATTTACATTTCTCGAAGGCCAAGATGTGGCAGTGACCTTCATTCAACTGTTATCTGAAGGGGATATAGCTAATGTGATAAAATTTACATTGACACAGTAATATTTAAGTCAGATAAGCTATCAACTTCTTGGTATAGTGCATTGGGGCTTATGGGTTGATGGTGTGTGAATTTTTAAAGTATATAAAACTATTAATTAAATATAATATTCAATACATTACATATATGTATTTTGGTTCAAGGTTTATAGGAGTTGCGTGTTTTCTCCCATTGTGCAATACTAAAATAAAATCATTGAGAATTTCAAAAATGTGCGCAGGCAAAAATGATTCTTGTAAACAAGCTCCAACATGGAGATCACATGATTTTCGCATGTTTATAATATCGTTGGAGTGGGTGTGTTCACATTTGCCCAGCGCTTGTAACACTGATTTATAACTCGGCAAAATCTCAAAATAGAGAAGTAAACGATCGAAGCGATTTCTTCGAATTTTAATTATGAATAAAAAACTTGGACATTGTGATGCATTTAAATAAAATATTAATTAGCTAACATTTTTATGGATAATGTCTTCTGCTTCGACGTGAGTTGTGTTTTGTCATTTTAAGACGATATTTTCTATATGTTAGTATTACTTCAAAATGTTTTTATATTATGAAGCTTCTTCGAAATTTTATTAAGAATAAAATTAAAACGAGATATTATGTGGTTCTATATAAATTTTTGTGATATTTAAATATCTAACGAGGACCACCCACAAACCAGTATTGGATTTCAATAAGACATTATTTGGTCTATTGGTTTACATTACTTTTAATAGGTACTGTTTTGAAATAAATGACATTATTTTGCGGTGAACTGGTGACATTAACCTGGAATTGAGATCGGAAGTTATGACAACATTCTTATTACCTGAACCTTAAAATTACTATGTTTGGTTATAACTACGTCATTTCTCAGTTAAAGTATGGAACTCACAGTTTGGCTGCCAATAATAAAATTATGTAATCACTCTTAAAAGTGAAAACCAAGATTGTTTTTCAATTTCAACAAAATTCTTATCTAATCTTTAGCCGGTAGCTAAACACTTGAAGATTTCTTTCGGTGAGAGCAAATATAGGCGACCTTGGTCCAGCTAGCCTACATTAATTTGCATCCGATAAACATTTTCCTAACACTTGCAGTGAGAAGATACAATAATAAATCGTTTGAGATATACCGGTGCAAGGTCTCGCAGAACAGGTGTGGTTGAAACTATTCTGTGTCCATTACTATTTATAACGAAACTCAAACAATACGAACGCTTTCAAACATCAAATGTGTGCGCTTTTAATATTACTTCACCATTCATGAATAACATGGAAACTAATAGTAATAATTATTTTATGACGAAACGGTTGGTAGCTATGTCTTTCCCTATCTGTTTTAAATAAAATCTTATTGTACAAATGTGTTTAGAATATACAAATTTTTTAATATAAGTCATCATGTTATATGGATTGATTGAAAATAATTAAAATAAGGACGTACATATCTATCTTTAATATTTTCATATAAACATATTTTTTTTACCTGGAAATTATGATGAAAGAAAAAATATTGAAATAAAATTTTCAATAATATTATTATTAATGTAATAATAAATTCGGACATAAATATTCACCTTTATAATAATGTATAATAATACGTTCTATATATTCAACGTAAATCACAGAATTCAGACACCACAAACTATTGGAAATCGGATTACGAAAAGGATTGTAAAAACGTCAAAACGCGTCAAGCTAATCTATTTGTCGCCGTCGGAATCCAGGAAATTCAACTAAAATTTCACGTTGGCTTATAAGTTTGCTGGAAAACATTTATCTTGTCAGTGTTATTAAATAAGATTGATAAGAAGCCATTTCTTCAGCTTTTCTCTACTATATTCATATTTCTTTTGTCGCTGAGGATTAATTAAAATTGTTCTCAAAGGCTCTCTAGCAAACAATGAATGGTACGAAATTTTTTCTGCGAAAGTCGACACGGCTCACAGTCATAAAAGATATTAGCGCACCTAAAAACTTAAAACGGATACGTTTAGTGTTTGCTGTTTAAAAACTAAATCAAACAACGCGTTTTCATACGCACATATT